CATACGTCGATTTCATTGTTTAATCTTATGAAATTTTTTCATGAAATTGTTTAATCTTGTGAAATTGTTTCATATAATACTTTTTTGATGAATTTGTTTCATATAATACTTTTTTGATGAATTTGTTTCATATATGGTTATGAAATTGTTTCATATAATATTTAATGAAATTAATGAAACTGTTTCATTTATTTCTCTAAAATTAAAATAATGAACATGATAATATCCATGATTAACACCCTACATAATAAAAATGGTTAATCAACCTCTCATAATTACAAAAAATGAACAGGCCGGTTTCTGACATTTTTTAGGTCCTGGGCGAGATGTAAAAAGGGGCCATCGATAAGTACGATATTTTTTCAATATATTGTTTTATTTTTATCATCAGAAATAACATCAAATTCATATAAAACCGTTTTTCCGAGTACTCCTGGACGCAAAATCAATCAGTACTCATTTCTAAATTAATATTATCTACTATAACATTTTTATGTAGTATCGGTAACTTGTTTCATCATCAAAAACATATTATGATATATTTTTGGTACGTAGAATGACATCATTTGAGGTCACAAAGTCAACTCTTCTGATTTTCGATTGACACTATGTAAATCAATTAAAATAAGTTGGTTTTCCATGTCCCCATGTTAATGTTTTTTAACTTCATTTTGAACTTTTATATTATGTTTTCGAATTTAAGAAGATTAACGCTATTTTAAACTTTTATATCATGATTTCAAATTTAGGAAGATTAATACCATTTTAAATTTTTATATTTGTTTTCGAATTTGAGAAGGAAAGAAAATAATCAGAAAGGAAAAGAAAAATAAAAGAAAAGAAGAAAAATAAAGTTTTTTATTTGCGTTTTTAATAGAGAAGAGAGCGGAAGGAAAAATAATGAAATAAAAATAAATTTTGATATAATTTTTTCCTTTCTCTAAAAAAATCTCGACAACATAATATTTTTCTTCCCCTATTACTTTCCTCTCTTTCCTACGTAAAAGAAGATTCAAGAACATAGGGTTAGAATTAAAACAAACTTTTCTGTAATCATCGATTATATAAATTAAAAAACTTATGTTGGTGATAGTTTAAGATTTTATTCTTCTTTTAAAGATAGAATAGTACATATGATTTATACACTCAATATTAATAAAGAACAACTATGAAAAAACAATTTTAGTTTTATTATTTTAAATATAGATATAAGTTGTACCGTCCTATTGGTTGGTAATTTTTTCAAAAGATGGGGGGTTTGTTAGCTAATAACAAGAAAATCTATCATATTCTATATAAAAATAGAATTCACGCAAGAATGGAACAATCAAAAGAGTCGATGGGAGATAAATTATAGAGAATATATCAAAGTTTTTGAAGCAAGTAGCTTTAGACGTCGGTTTTACATAAAAGAACTTTGAAAAACATTAAATAATATTATATAATGAACGACAGATTAACCTCTTTATGTATTTTTTTTCTCCAATATTTTAATTCATACATGTTTGGGTCTTTAATAGTTAATGTAGTACTAAAATCTTTTCTTGTCATATTGAATACTAGTTTTCTTATGTGTCTTCTATTTACTAATTTTTTTGAACTACTATTATATATATTAAAAAAAATTTAGGTCCCTAATTTTTTTGGGCCCTGGGCGTACGTCTGGCCAGCCCTCCCCCAGAGACAGCCCTGAAAATGAACAAAATAAAAAATTATGATTGGTTGAATAAGGTTTTCACGGTTTTTACAAATTGAGTGGTTTTTATTTGAACGCTCCCCTATATATATATATATATATATATATATATAGAGAGAGAGAGAGAGAGAGAGAGAAAGAGAGAGAGAGAGAGGTTGGTTCAAATACTAACCCATTTTTTTGTGTTAATTATGCTAACCAACATCAACCAATCATGTTCCATCTTTTAGTTAAGTTCAAATGTAACTCACATATTAAGTGTAAGGGTATTTAGGTAATTTATCATTTTTATATAACTCCCCAATATTTTAATTGGGAGTTACAAATCTTAAAATATCACTAATTGATCTTTATGTAATAATCACATGAAGTTTCACACTTGTTCATCTTACTGACTTTTACATTTCATTCTTCCTACAATGGTTTTGATATTGTAAATTTCAAAAAAGTTCCTTTTGTAAAGATTCCGTTATAATCCGAGTAATATGGATAATCATAGAGTAAAACAGATCGACGACAATGAGAATGAAAAAGTTAAAAACGTCTACGAATACATTCGGAATTCGAATTCCGAAAGTGAAGAAAATGATCAAATCGTTCACACACATGTTCACTCAAACGTCGACATATGTGTTCACTCGTGCACATATGTGTTCACTCGTGCACATATGTGTTCAATTGGTTCACACAATATGTCCATTTGGTTCACACACATGTTTCAATTGTTTATTAGGTTCACACATTGTTTTGATGAAGTTTATGAACCTAATTTTTCAATTGTTCATTAGGTTCACACACATGTTTCAATCTTATTTGGATGTCGTCGCCTGGTAATCCTTCCAAATCCTCCATTGTTTTGATGAAGATTATGAACCTAATTTTTAGCTACTGATTTAAGATATTGATCGATGAGATTGACGGTTTCTTTATTGATTGGAAGTTACAGAATA